GAAGAACGCTTTCACTACAACGTAGTTCACCTGGGGGCCAGCAGGAGGGAAAAAGAAATTCCAAAGTGTGGTAGGATAATGATAGGGAGGAGGCGGGCAAGGGGACAGGTGAAGGTAGCAAAGGCGTGGCTTGGGCAGGCAGCAACTGGAGGTAGTAAAAGAGGAGATAGAGAGGAGGCTCCAACAAGCGTCTTGCAACAGCATCAGCAGCAGCAGCAGGAGCAACAAACTGCAATTGCGTGCATCTGCATCGGAATGATGCTATGATGAACAGCGGCCACAACAGCAGCAACGGCGCTGAGCCGTAACAAACACAGCTGACAGACACACAGCCCATAAAGCCCTGCTTGCTTGGTGTCGAATGCCGCGCACCAGCACACAGACTGGCCTCATGTAACCTCAGAAAGTACTCGAGGAGTTAACCTCCGCTGCATTGCCTGCAACGGTATTGACAACGCCACAACCCTCACCGCTTTGAGTCCCTCCACCAGCTGTTGGTAGATCAGGATCTTCCCTTGAGCCGCTGAGCCGTTGCTGACCACTTGGCTGGGCAGGCGGCGGCGCGTCATCTGCTGCAGCTGTTGATGCTGCTGCGGTTGCTCCTGCTGTTGCCGTTGCAGCAGCGTGGGGCTTGAGGGGGGTGGGGAGGCGGCGGCAGTGCCCGGGTTGCTCCGGCGGTTGCTCTTGCTGTTGCTGGCGGCGGGCGGCGGGGTGCTCAGACGCAGGGACTGCACGAAGCCCACAACGGCCAAGTCTGACATGTCCTGTTGTGTCGGTTGTTGTTTGCATGGAGAGGGACATGTTGTTGGGTTCGATGTTGCGGTTGGGGTGGGCAACGGAAAGCGTGGGGTGCATGGACAGATAAGAGAGGACAAACGGTATAATTGGGCTGTACAGCAGCGTACGAACTGGGTCCCCCCCTGGTGCCGTGCTGCGCCATCTTCCGCGACCCCTGCCCCAGCCTCGAAACCGGAACCAATCCAGCCACCACCCCTCCTGAACAAGGAGTTCCCCTGCTAAACTCCACGCAGGGCTGACCCGTGGGTCACTGACCGACCGCGCCTACCTGCAGCTTGTACAGCAGCGCATGGAAGAGGTCGGGGAAGCAAGCAATGAGGGACTCCATGGTGGTGTCCCAGTTGCAGCTGGCCAGTGCGCGCGGGCACTCCTTGCATATCAGGTCCAGCATCATCTTGGTCAGCTTGTAGTTATTGTAGTCAACCGCCGCCTGCACGTAGTGCCAGAGCTCCGTGTGCTTTTCCTGCAGCAGGCAGAAGACAGCAGGGAGGATAGTGGGTATGAAAAGGTTGCTGCCGGGTAGGATCGGTTGGAGTAGCAGGTAGGTTGGGAGGTAGGGCGGAGAGGTCAGGTGGCGAGGGAGGGAGCAGGTGGGGTGAGGGATTGAACGATGATGGGCATCTGATAGCCCTAGAGGAATACGGCTACCGGTATACGTGGCATGCGCATGCAGGAAAGGGTCATGTGCTCTCCCATGCACAAGACTTTACCTTCTCGTACAGCTCTTTGAAGAGGCGCTTGATGATGCCTCCGACCGCACCACCCGCCTCCGCAGGCGGAACCGCGGGTGCCTCCTTCTCCGCGGCTTTATGACCCTCGTGGGCTGACCCATGGGTCTGGCCCGTCACCAGCTTGTTTATCGCCGTGAATATCATGCGCTGCAAATAGCAAGGCGGGGGACAGAGTTCGCAGCTTACGAAGTAGGTGGAGAACAGGTGGTGAAGCACTCAGGTGGTATCCCCGAATAACCCGACCAAGCGACTGGAGGCTACTAGAACGACAGCCGCGATCGCCCTGCACCTGACCCATGGGTCGCTAATCCTCCGCACGCACCTGCGTGTAGTCCATGGTACCAGAAGTCACCAGCTTGGACCAGTCCGCCTTCCCTTTGGCCTCCTCCTCCTCCTTGCCAGGGTTCGCCACAGTCGCTGTCTTAGCGCGATCCGCCTTCTCGCGCTCCTCCTGCTGCTTGATTACCTCAATCATCAGCTGGGCAATTGCTGGCGTCTGCGAAGAGCAGACAAACTCCTCAAGGTGGACAACCCTGCTCAATAGCTCTCCGACACACTCAGTATACAAGCCATGTCGGGAGGAAAGCGCCCTTCCCGAGGCACTACCACATTCCCCACAAGCTCCGACAGCATGCTTCCTGGTATTTATCGAGGTAGCCTTAAAGGCCACCTACGCCGCCCCAGTTGCATCTACTACTCACCGGCACCGCGTCGATGTCCCTCACGACCCAGTTCAGCAGCTCCTGCAGCGACTCCAGGGAGGGAGCCACCTGCCCTCGTAGCAGCAGCGGAGGCACGGAAAGGAGGAAGGCGTGAGGCGGGACCGGAGGCGCGCAACATGATAAACGCTTGCACAAGGGGCTGCGCCTGACATGCCCAAGTCCTTAGAAAGGCACAATAAAAACACGGTCGCACAAGAAAGGGCCTGCATTAGGCATCCTTGCAAACAAACAGGCTCTGCCCCTGGCACGCGTGAGGGCAAGGAATGGTACGGCACGGTACGGCATTTCACGGCAGGACCGCACCTGGAAGGCGTTGTTCCGTGTGATGTCCAGGATCTGCGGGTTGGCGCCGTTGCGGAGCAGCAGGACGGCGACGTCGTGCTGGTCGTGGTTGACGGCGCCATGCAGGGCGGTGAAGCGGATCTGCATGCAGGAGGGGTTTGTGCGCACACAGTATGGGGAGGTGGAGAGCACTGAAGGGACATTGCGGGTGCAAGGCGGGCGGGTGCATGCAGGGCGGGCGGGTGGCGCCTGATTTGGGTAGAGCGGGCGGCGACAGGGGCCCGCGGCAACACCACCACGCTGCTCGTTACGTTGACCGCGGGCAAATGGTGGCCGAGGCTGCTTGCATGTACCCGTGCCCATGTGCCATAGCCAGCCTGCCGGGAATACCGCTGCCAGGACGGCACCCCCTAGCTAATCCCCTGGACCTTCGCAGATCCTCTGCTTGCATGCCTAAACGGGGAAGCGGCGGTGCCCCATAGTATCCCGGCTTCCCCAAGGCGGCAGGCCCCAAGGCGGCGACGGATTGTGACCCCAGCATGTGCTCTGCATGGCCCTGCCGCCTCACGTAATCTTTGGCACCGCATGAGCTGTGCCCGGCCTCACAGCAGCATATGCCGGGGGCTATATGCAACAGTTCTCATGCGCTGCTGCCGTTGCCGCCTTTTAGCCGCCTTTGCGGGGTTAGCTCTGCTCAACGTAGGCGGTACAGCAGGCCTCTGGCATCAGGTCAGACGTTACGCCCAGTTGGCATCGGCTCCGTTGCATCAACCGCTGCCCGTACCCGCCACATGCGGCCGTGAATGCTGCTACTGTGGCCAAGCTGCCTCAGCTGCCTCAGCTGCCCTGCCATCGCAGCCAGGCAGCCACCGCTGCAGAAGCCCAGGTGTTGATCGCCGTTTTGCGAAGTTGCTGCTCATTCCAGTCAGCGTATGGACCTGACTGGCGTATGTAGCGGCAGCACGCAGCTGCCATCCTGCATCATGTGTATAGCTGTGGCCGCCATCTTGCGCTGCCGTACCAGCACTGCCCTAGGCGGGCAACCCAAGTGGTTGCTGCTGCGGCCGCCACCACCCAGGCGCGGCTGTCGTGCTGCAGTGCAGCCGGCCACACCAAGCAGCTCCGGAACTGCGGGCTGCATGCTATGCTGCATGCCGCTGCATCTGCGGCTGTAATGCTCTGGGCAAACGAGTGCGGCGCCCTAACCGAACGATACCCACGCCCCATCCTTCTCTCCCTTGACCCCTATCTCCCTGCTCATGTCGGACCTGTCGCTAGGCACGGTCGGGCACCCTACATACCTGCGCGTCCTGGTGGTTTAGGTAATGGCTACGCGCCTTCTCCTTTTCCCTGTCCAGTGCTACCCCTCCGGCTGCTTCTCCTCCGCCGTACGGCTCCAGCAGTACCTCCACCATCTCCTTGTTGCCGTAGGCAGCCGCCAATTGCAGCGGGATGCACCCATACTGCAGCAGCGAATGTACGGCAAAGAGGCCGCCATGTCAGCCGTACGGCCAAAGGCCGTAACCAGTCGATTGAAGCGCAAGTCAACATCCCCACACAGATCTGTTCCTTGCTTCCTGTGGTTGCTAGTACCTGCAGCTCACCTGGTCGTTGATTCTCAAGATGTTGTCATCCCTTTGCCACAAGTCGTCATCCTGCCTTTTCAGCAAGTACCTGCTCACAACACACGTGCGGGGATCTGGATCTGGGCTCCCCTCTACTGCTTTCTGGAAGCCTACGGTGTTCCATAGCGGGCACGTACCGTGCTATCCGCGCGAACCGACGCCTAGCGGCCGGCGTGTCCACCTTGGTGGCTTCCGCGAGCGTCGTCTGCCCCAGAAGCGCGACATAATGCAAGAGCGAAAATCCGGAATCCTGTGCGGAGAAGACAGTCGTATTCAAACATGAAGAAATGACCGCCTGCTTAGACATGCACCATAGGACATTCGTCAATACGCACCTCTGCAAGTGCTCCCTGAAAGCCGGCCGATTCAACCAGTTGCTGTACCCCAGTCGATTCCTCGAGATCGTCTGAACTGAGTCCCACCGAACTGCCTGCTTCACCCAGTAGGGCTGCAGAAGCTCTCCCACCATACGTGCCTCCTTCCGAGTTATTAGAGCCCGCAAACGCTTTCAAAGCAACTTGTTTTATGGTTCCATGCCCATCCCTACGAATACTCAAAACAATGTTCACAGTTCAGTTGACATGGCCATACTAAAAGCCTCTCCATCCATACATAAACTTACTGGGCCATAGGAACCACCTTGTTTAATGGATATGTCATTCATAGGATTAAACAGCATGCAAGTCCATATTGAATTGCCTAGTGGCCTAAATAGCAGCGCCTTATATCATGGTTTGAGTTAACACATCGTGTTGATTGTGCTATACATATCAATGAAAATAGTTGGTAACACCGTCACCGCCTTGGCTGACCGCCCGATACCGTACGATAGCTAGTCTCCTATCGACGCCACGAGCGCCGTTTATCATCACCCAATAGAGGCATTGGAATATAGAGCGTATGACCATTAGGGCTGTCGGCACTATCCTGGGATGCAATCGGCTCATAGTCCCATGCAAGCCGCACGCGAAGGTCAAGCTCAACATGAAGCCGCAGGTTTTACTGGGCGATACACAGCCGGGCTTCGTTTCGTGGAGAGCACTTGTGTCCTCCGGCCATTGATAGTTGCCGACCCCTTAGCAGGGGTTCTTGCCGGAGAGCGTGGCCTAGCACTTGCCCGGCAGGAGCTAGAGCAGCTCACTCTATCCCAGGTATGTTACATCAGAGGTATTAAGGATGAACGCCGCGAACTGAAGCAACTAGCCAAGGTTGTACGCCAAAGCCCTAACCGCTAACCGCTTAGCCTACCCACCATAAGGCAACCCACTACGTGCGGCTGCTTCCACACACTTCCAGGGCCCAGGACGGCACCTGCGTGTACCCGCGCGCAGCCGCTTGATTGATGACTGGCTGGAACGGGAGATTGCAGCCTTGAAGTGCGGCCCTGCCACTGGTAAGCCAGTACCCGTCTGAGCATTCCAACATCTATGGGTTGACGCGAGGGCTTTTGCACATCCCGCTGTACAAGCCTACCTATCCACGCCGCTCCCAAACACGCAACTTGGTTTCAGTGTTGAGTGCCGGAGTGTGTGTATTCGCTAGACGACAGCGACTCCGCAGCCCGCACACCCCCGCACACTCCCGCTTACGCACCCACACGCTCTCTCCCCATCCAGCCTGCCAGGTGGTATCTCTGGGCGCTGGCATGTGCACTCGGCCCTGGCGGCTTGCGGCGCTGTCGGGGTGCCACGTGTTTGAAGTTGACCTGCCACATGTTGCCAGCACCAAGGCGAAGCTGCTGGCACTAGCAGGCGCACAAACAACCCAAATCGAGCCGCTAGGTTCACCCCGACTGCCATCACCGCAACAGCAGCCACAGCTGCAGCAGCCACAAGCATCTCTGGAGCCGCTTGAGCCGCAGAAGCCGGTCTTTCCGCTCATGGCGGCTACTTACGCCTGCGTGGGGGTCGACCTGGCTGCATGCTGCAGTGGCGGTAACGGCAACCCCGACGGCGGCAGCGGCTGCGGTGGAGCTGACAGCGGCAGCGGCTGTGGTGAGACCAACCACAGCGATGGAAGCAACGCCAGCAGCAATAGCAGTAGCAGCCTGGCGGCGGCGCTGATAGCCCAGGGTTTCGATCCGGCCCTCCCCACATTGTGGGTGCTGGAGGCGCTGCTGTACTACATGCCGCTTGCGGCTGCAAGTGACCTGTTGGTGCAGTTGATTGAGGTTTCGGAGCCGAGGAGCCGCCTGGTGGCCACCTGCGTGGACCGGGAGCTGCTGGAAGCCAGCAGACGAGGAGTGCCCAAGGTAGGGAGTGAGTGCTCGGGTGCACAGGTGAAACGGGGCGTGTGCTCTCAGATCTCTCCGTGCGTGTGATGCTTTCTGTGTTGCGGCGTTTTGCACCGAGGTCGTGGTTACCGGTACTTCATGCATGGATGAGTATGTTTACGTGTGTGTGTTGTGTACTGGATGTGCTCGTAAGGCCCAAAAGAGCCAGGAGGCCCATGACTGCTGATCCTAAGTTAAAACCTAGCTGACTCAGATGTGACCATCCATACCGGTAGCAATGATGGCCCGGTTTCCCTCCTCGCTTGTACAGGGTCACGTGTTCGCGGATCTCTGGCACTTTGATGCGGGGGAGCTCTTGTACGGCACGGAGGCATTTGCCGGGCAGCACTGGCAGGTGGACTGGCGGGAGACCGAGCGCATGGAGGGCAGCCAGCAGCAAGGGCAAGAGGAACAGCAGGAGGGGCAGCAAGTGCAGCAGCAGGGGACGGTAGCAGGAGCAGGCGACTCCCAAGGTGACCAGCAGCAGCAGCGGCCAGCCAAGCGCCTGCCCCGAAGCACCCGGCAGCTAGCACTGGAGAGGCTGGGTGCGGACACGTACGTGGCGTTGTACGGCGGTAGTGAGCTGCTTTTCGTGGCGGGAGTACGACAAAAGCAGTAGTTTTGTACGGCTTTAGCGGCTGCAACTGTTGCTGCAATGGCCTTTGTATGATGGGGTCGATGGCATTTGCTGGTTCCATGCACTTCATGTTACCATTTAGAAACAGCTTCAGATGATCGTGGGTGATTGGGGATGGGAGCGGTCGCCCATTAGGAAGATATCGGTGCTAGGGGCAGAGCCACGAACATGTCGAACCGAGGCTCTTACCTTTTAAAGGTAAAATTACAGGAAGTCTGTCTTTCATATGGCTCACCTCCTAGGATCCCTGGGCAGACAATTTCCCAGTGCTATGCAGTAGCAAGGCTAGAAGCCACATGTGTGTGATGGCTTGCTGGCCAGCAGGGCTTCCAAAAGCAGCGGGTTGTTGGATGGTATGGTGTGTAAGGGTATGGATGGTGGCATGCAATGTCACAGAGAGGCTTAGACGACCGGTTCAGCCGTTAGGTACATCGCCTTGGATTAAGCAGAGTGATTCGTAGTGTCAACACTGCCTGATGGCCTTGCTCTGCATTCATGCATTAGGAGAAAGCACGCTTTCCAGAGCAGGATACATACCGGTGTGTGCTGAGCCAGAGGCAAGTGTATGTCGTGCAATGGTGGGCTAGGATGATGTGTGCAACTTTTAAGCGCTGTGGCTGGCTGCGGTGTTGTTTCTGACAAAAGTTGCAGTATGCCTGTCATTGATATGGCGGTGGTGCCAGCGTGCAGACCGCATAGTAATGCAGCTAGAGAGGTGCAAGGCGCTACTTGTTGGTGAGAACTAGGTAGGAGTGCGGTACATATGTGCGATAGCTTATGCCTGCCGGCTTGCTTGCCGTCTGCAACATCACGTCAGTTGACACTGTGGAAACCTCCCATGGTCTCCAAACCTTTTCAACAACAGTTAAGTGGTAAACGCCTTCCTTCTGCATACACGACATCGAAAAACAAGTACATCACACCAACTGACCGTTATAAGAACTATCACACGACCATACATGAATGACCCAAAAGGGAATACGGGTGATGAACCCAACCAACTTGTGAGTTGTGCAGCGTTACACTGACAGGAGCAAGAAGGATTCCTTGGTACCCGTAGCAGTGCTCTTGATGTGTTAGCGTAGCACAAGCTGTTTGACAGGCAAACGTTTATCCCATGGCACCATACACACGAGCTACTTTGGCGGATACGAACAGATAGCCCACATATATTAACGCTATATACAGGGTACATGCATTCTACACAACCGCAAGAACACAGCTGTGGGGGTATCGAGGGTGCACTTCTGGTGCGCTGTAATGCTCACAGAGCGTTACAAGGCACAGGTAAGCAGAGGAATTGCAAAGCCCTGGTGCACCCCCTCACTGATCAGTCATGCAGGCCGCACGGTACATTCTACACAACCGCAAGAACGCTGTGGGGGTTTCAAGGGTGCACTTCTGGTGCACCCCAGGGCTTTGCAATTCCTCTGCTTACCTGTGCCTTGTAACGCTCTGTGAGCATTACAGCGCACCAGAAGTGCACCCTTGGCACAGGTAAGCAGAGGAATTGCAAAGCCCTGGGGTGCACCAGAAGTGCACCCTCGATACCCCCACAGCTGTGTTCTTGCGGTTGTGTAGAATGTACCGTGCGGCCTGCATGACTGATCAGTGAGGGGGTGCACTACTGGCGCACGCCCGACCAATCAGCCATACACGGAATAAGGCTACGGTAACGCACCAAACCCTTCACCTGTGTTCCCTTTTAGGGAGCCATTGTAACAGTCACTCATTCAAACCCAGTCGACGTACTCCGCACAAATTCCCCACACTGTGCACTACTAACCCCACCTCACGGAAACAACCAGTCAACCGAAAACAGGCACAGGCAAGGCCAACACAAGCCCCTGGCCCCGATAGCCCAAACTCACACCCGTCTCTGAGCTTATGCCTGCTATATTTCAAGCTCTAAATGCAGCAGCTGGTACTCATGAGTGCTCGAGCTTATTGTTCATTGTCTGCTGCCATGCGACAGTTGTCTGCACCAATGCAGCAGTTGCTAGCAACTGCTGAGTCATTAAGCTGCAGATGCCGGACCTCACTTCGTGCAAATCGGTCTTCATCATCGCAATCTCGGTCTTCATCATCGTAATCTCGGTCTTCATCATCGTAATCTCGGTCTTCATCATCGTAATCTCGGTCTTCATCATCGCAATCTCGGTCTCCTTCTTCCTAATTGTCTTCATCAGCTCGGGGAGCACAGGAATATCAGTCTCCATCTTCAGGGGGGGCCCGGCAGGGTAGCCAGCCACACTGATTGACAGGAGTAGACAAGGCGGGGAGGGGTCATGGCATGAAGCCAGGAGGAGGGACATGGAAGAAATCGGGACTGACCAGTAGGGGCAACCAAGCGACAATGGGTTTTGTGATGAGCAGCACAAGAGGGAAAGGGATTGACACAACAGTTTCACTTAGGGGACTTGGGAAGCCCGTACAGACGGGACCCAAGCTACCGTACAATGTAATCCATATGCACCATTCCTTCAACATCTGTAACGTCAACTTGTCTCACTGCTAATGCTACTTACTTGGAGCTGCGGGCCACGAAGTCCCAGATGGCAAGCAAGATAAACATCACCCCTCCTGCCAGCTCAGCCGCGGAGCCAGCAAAAGGGTGTAGGTGAACCTGGAGGAAGCACACATGCGGTCAGCTTGGCGGTCAAGGCGTCCTTAATCCAATGCCGCACTGAAAACGCTGCACTGACAACCTAGTGTATGAGCAAGCGGAGAAATGCAGTGCGGCTGTAAACGCACCTTATGCTTCACTGCCAAACGCACGAACAGCGCCATTGCGCACACGAAGCGGATAATTCCCAAAGAAGAGAGCGCCTTCTCCACAAAGGTCTCCTTAGAAGGACCGTAGGCGCTACCCCCAGCAGCCATGGCCGCCACAGCATGCCCACGCCTCTGTGCCATCACTGGCGAACATGGCAAGGCCGTGGTGCTGGTAGGCACACGAGGATGCCGTGGTCCAAGCACTGCCACGGACGGGGTACCTCCTGCAGTGGGAGCAAATAGCGGAAGTTTGACAGGGTTGTGACAGTTGCGCTTTCCGCATGGCGTTTACCGCTGTCATGCTAAACCCAGCTAGCCTTGTCCGGAGGGATGCTCCTTTTAAAGTTGCACTTGAAAATGTTCAACATCCAAGCGTTTCAACGTGAAACTTGTTTACGCTGTTGATGTGACGCTCAAAGGAACTCTCTAAGTGAGCAACACCAGGTGGCCCAGCAAACGCACCTTTGCGACATAGCAGCGTAGCTGTTCAGGTCGGGACCATAAGAAACAAGGGAAATGAGTCAGTATATTTGTAGCAATTTACTGAAGAGGGGCGGTGTCTGCTATTGACACAGCGAAGCGCCGATGCCCTGAGCAGAGAGAGGCCCCTCACGCTGTCGACACACCTCTTGAAATCAAAGTTGCCATTGAAGCAGCAACACGGTGACAGGCAGTGCCGAACTTAGTGATAGGGGCCACTAACTCTCACGCGAGTCCAAGCCACCACAAGGTGACAAAGCGCTGTACAATGGACGAGCCGCAACTGGATTAGTATGCGCTTAGTAAATTAACTGATTTCAAACAGCAAAGCATTACTCTAGCAACATTGTTCCCGTTAAGTGCGAGTTGGCTTCATGACGACCGCACAAGCCGCCTGCTCGGCATCATACCCACACATATACGTCCCTCACGCACACACGTGACCCCCCTACTGACCAGCCCCCATGCATCCATCGAGCGGGAGGAGAGAGAGAGAGAGAGATCATGCACAGGAGGCGTTGAGGACAGAGGTTGATGAGTTTGGGGCACCTAGATGAACAGCAGGCTCTTCGGGCGTCAGGTCAGGTCACAAGGTGCATGTCTCCATGCCGGTAGCAGATAGGTTGCAGGCAGCCATTGTATGTACGAGACGTCAGGTACGGTGGGCTACAATCACCTCTTTGCCAATGGCTCATGCGTTCATGGGGCCCTGCGTTCATGGGGTAACAACAGCTTCGTCGTCGCTGCGCAGTTGCTACCAGCGTCGGCGGACATCCCTGCTGCCTGCCCCGTGAGCAGCAGTGCCTCGGCAGTTAACACCGACGCACCAGCGGCCAGCGCTTGTGCCAGCAGCAGCAGCAGCAGTGGCGGAGACGGCGTTACCAGCAGCGACGCATCCCAGCCGGAGAGCAACAGCAGCAGTGGCAGCAGCGAGTGTAGCAAGAAGGACATGGCGGCCGCACTGCGCCTGCACCGGCTGTACGGACATCTTGGTTGGAAGGGACTGGAGCAGCTAGTGCGTGACAAGTTGGTGCTTGGGGTAGACGTGCCGGTAGCTGCGCTGCGCCAGGCAGCTGCGGGCGTCTGTAGCACCTGTGAGACGGCCAAGGCGACCAGAGCGCCTTTTCCCAGCCGCGGGAACAAGCCGCAACGTGCCCTGCAGCTTGTCCACTCAGACCTCTGTGGTCCGCTGCCTGTCGTGGGCCGTGGGGGCGCCCGACACCTGCTTACGCTGCTGGACAGTTCCACGGGCCTTTCACTGGTCCGTCCGCTGGCAACCAAGGACCAGGCGGGTGCAGCGCTGCAGGAGATGATAGCCCAAGTGGAGTCGCGCCGTTCTGACGTGAAGGTGTGTACGCTGCAGAGTGACAATGGAGGCGAGTACATTGCGGAGCAGCTGGAGCAGTGGCTGAAGGAGCACGGCACTGTTCACCACTACTCTGCCCCATACACGCCGCAGCAGAACGGTGCAGCAGAACGGCTCAACCGCACCCTTATGGACCGAGTGCGAGCCCTCTTGCAGGAAGCTGACTTGGCGGATACCTTCTGGCCTGACGCGGCCAACTACGCCAGCTGCCTGCGCAACGTCTCACCCTCTGCTGGCCGCGCCGTCACTCCGTGGGAAGCCTTCCACGACCAGAAGCCGGACATCTCGGACCTCCATGTCTTCGGCTGCCGCGCCTTCGTCCGCGTCCCTACTGAACAGCTGAAGAAGCTCGATCCCCGTGCAGAGGAAGGTACATATCTGGGGCCCGAGCGCCACACAGCTGCCCACCGCATCCTGGTTCACGGCAAGGTCGTCATCAGCCGTGACGTCACCTTCGACGAAGCGGTTCGGGGGCCCGCGTCCAGGAAGCCCGGCACGCTCTTCGACCCTTTGCCTGTCGCTGGTCGTGGTGATGGTGGTGGCGACAGCAGTGTCGGCGG